GAGTGGGGCCTAATCCAGTGACTGATGTCTTCCTAAGGAGATTAGACCACACAGACATAGCGATGACCACTAGAAGGTACAGTGAGAAGGTAACCACCTACAAGCCAAGGACAGAAGCCTCAAAAGAAACCAACTTGCAAACACCTTGATATTGGACTTCTAACCTCCAGAACTGTAAAAAAAATAGTTTTGTTGCTGTTGTTTAAGCCACAGTGTGTATTTTGTTATGACAGCCCTAGCAAACTATATATGGGGGGAGGGGGGTGCATACACACACACATACACACGAATGCACAGACTTCCTCTGGAAGAATTGCCTCTGAGGAGAAATGGGGGACAGGGTGCCAGGAAGACTTACTGTACATCCTCATATACAATTTTAATTTTTTGCCACATGCATGCCTTTTCTCTTCCAATATATGCATTAATTTTTCAGTCTTTCTAATAAATGCATTTAGGATTATACTATTTCTTCAAGGTACAACTTTGTCCACAGCCCATAGATTTTGATACATAATATTTTCAAGACATTAATTTTTAAATAGTATGTAATCTCGGTTAAATTTTAAATTATTTTTAAAATACTATACTGAAAGACAAAAAAGTAAATATTACCCCTAACCATATTTCTTTCATTTGAGATGGAAAATTTAAGACCCTTCTGCCACTTATTCAATTCCACCCCCTCCATGTTGGAAACCAATTTGATATTAGTTTTCTTGATCTTTCTGCAGAGTTTTCTATCTATCTATGCACTTTCACATGCACATAAATTTTTTTAGAAAATGATATTATGCTATATATATGTCACTGAAACATGCTTTATTTTTACTTAGAAATATATTATCCTGGGGGGATGGGAGGCTGCAATCAACATCTTTTACATATTTATTAGTCTAAAGGCAATAAAAGATATCTTATTATTGCTTAACTTATATCTCCTTGATGACTAAGGTGAGACTGAATCCCCTTTCACGTCATGAATCATTTTTTTTTAATAATTTGCTTCTTTTTATTATCTTGACTTTTTCTTCCTTGTAATTTCAGCTTTTATATCCTCTTCAATCTGAGTTGAAAAAACTTGTGAAATAAGTTTTTGCTTCCCCTTTTGTTAATTTCGTGTGAACTGTTTCCTTACAATATGATTAGCAATAAATATTTTTTAGAATTTGAGATTTTCTTTGTAGCCCTCTTATATATTTTAAGTGTTAGATGAGTATTTAAGAAGAGTATATATTATTAGCTCCTTAGGTATAAAGTTTTATTAAATATTTTTTAAATTAAATGTTTGTTGTCGAGAATTAAACTTTGCCTGATAACAAATTAATATGCATTTTCTTTCATTCAACATTTACCTGCAGTGTATATACTTGTATTTTAACTCTTCTGTATTATTTTGTTTTTATATTTGTCTGTAGTAATACAAACCCAGAGATTTGTTTCTATAGTTTAAGAACCTTTAAAAAAAAATGAGAACTTATTCCATCGTATTTATTATAATTATTGTTACACTGGTCATGTTCTGTTCCCTCTCCCACCATGAATATGCATGCTGATTATGAGTCCTGGCTATGAAAAGTATCACACATGGATGGAGGTGAGCAGCTAACTGGGTATCTTCTGAAGGAAGGAGCTCCATATTCATAGTGGCAACTAGAAGTTCTATAAAGTATAACGCTGATTCTCTCTCTGGCCCTAAAGCCCATGATGGAGATAGCCCCAACTTATATAAATTTGTTTTAACTACTTACCATGTGAGTAAATGCTGTAATTAAGCTATTCTAAATGATCCTGGAACAGCTGTTTTGCAGTCTGCTAATTAATTACATTTTGACCACTGCTATGGTCTGAATGTTTGTGTCCGCCAAAATTCATGTTGAAATCCTAATTCCCCAAGGTGATGGTATTAGGAGGTAGGGCCTTTGGGAGATGACTAGGTCATGAGGGCAGAGCCCTCATGAATGAGATTAGTGCCCTTAAAAAGAGAGCTTAAAGAGCTTGCTTGCCCCTTCCGCCATGAAGAAGTTGGCATTCTGCAAACCCAGAAGACCTGCACCAGTATCCAACCATGCCGGCATCCTGATTTGGACCTCCAGCCTCCAGAACTATGAGAAATAAATTTCTGTTGTTTATAAGCCAACCAGTCTGTGGTATTTTGCTATAGCAACTGAAAAGAACTAAGACAACCAACCTTAATCCATTCTACCTTTCAAAGTCTGAGCTTTGGGGTTTTCCAGAAGTATGTTAGGAAAACTCACTTTTCTAGTGTTTCCCCTTTACACCTGTATTGTGTTGCAGATTTCTCCACACTATAAGGTTCTGTCATCAATCTGACTCCATATGCATTGCATTTTTCATAAGTTCCTAAATGTTTTTGATCTTTAGATGACACCTTTTCCAGCTTTTCAGCACTAATCAAGGTGTATCCTTATTTTCATATTTTCTTATTTTTTGTTAACTAGATTCTTCCTCATTATACAAATAACACATACTTATATTAAACAGATCATAATGAAGGATTTAAATTGTAAAAAAAAAAAAAAAGTAGTCTTCCCCACCAATTTTCTGCCTCAAATTTGCTGTTAACACTACTCATGCAATTACTACTATGTTACTATTCTTCCCTTTTCACACTCTTATTCTTTGGAAGTATTAAGTATAGCTCACACTGAAAGAAAGGAATTCATTTCCACCTCTTACAGAAAAGAGTATCTAAACATATTTTTTTAGAATTCTTAAAGATTTGTCTCTTCTCCCCATTTATTTATTTAATCATTTTTATCAGTATGGACTTCCGAATATTTATTTTATTCTTTGGGTCAAATTTAATGCAATAGTTATGTTATTGTTAAAATTGTTCAAGCTTTGGCCATTGGACACTCTTTTGGGTTGGCTCCTGTGTCCTTTACATGTGTCCTCCTCATCTCCCTCCCACCCGTTTTTTAGTACTTTCTTACTTTTTGGTCCTATAAGATGCTCCAGGTTTATCTTGTAATATATAACCTATTGGTTCTGTTTCTCTGGAGAAGGCTGACTAATACAGTAGGTAATAAAGATGAAAGAATAAATAACTTCCGTAGGGTACAGGAATTTTTTTAAAGCTCCTAAAGTGCATCTGAGGCAGAGCCACTCTAATCACTCATACAGATATTTTCAAGCCCCCACATATTCTTCATTTTACATTAATGAATGAATGGTATAGTAGAATGGAAACAGCCTTTAGTATCAGACCTAGGATTAAATCTCAAAGCTGACATTTACTAGCTATTTGTTTCAAATAAGTACTCCTTGAAGTCTTGGCATCTTCACATTTAAAACTGGGAGATTATCACCAACCTGTCAGATGACTGTTGTGAGTTTACATAATAATACATTTAACAGATCAAGCAAAGTGCCTTTTTTCTATTTCCCCCTTAATTTACTGGAGAGATGGAGGTCATATGGCACGAGTTTCATGACTGGATCCTACATTTATCTTAAAAGACCTCTGTCTAAACATCTATCCTTTCAACTCACCAGAAATTCTAAAGCTGACCTCACCATCTGTGGAGAGGGACTCTATACTTGATTCTTCCCTCTTCAGCACTTTATTTCTCCCTTAATGATTTCTCTTTTGCTTCCAAAATATAGTTTCCTTACAGTAAACAAGAATTTGCCAACTTTTCTATCATTCTGTTTCTCTCCTACTATTCCTGTGAAGCATCTCACCTTTCTTTCATTGGCCAGTTCCTCCTAAATCTATGGTAGTATGCTTTCTGATTGTTTCTGCCAACCGAAACTGCTTTCTTAGAGGTCAGGGACTATTTTTTACCAAATTAAAGGTCTTTTCTATGTCTTCCTCCTTCTTTCTGCAGGATTTGAGGCTGCTGAACTCTCCCTTTTTAAAAAATTCTCTCTCCCAGGTTGTCTTCCCCTTCTCCAAATATGCCTCATCTTTCTCTACCATGAATCTTAGTCAAAGAGACTTTCAAAGCTCAATGCTTTTTTCTATTAGCTTTCTCCTTACAAAGTTTCAAATTGTTTCTATGAAAAAGCCATTATGTTTTTATAATAAAGCTACCTTTGAACACTGATCTTGCTCCAAATCTTTGGCTAGGCAAGACTCTCTTCAGAACATTTCATTTCAAAACCAATTAACAAGTCTGTTTACAACACACTAATCTGCTTTGCCTCTTAAGAGACCTAACTTCCAATTTCTCCATTTTATCAATAACACTAAAACTTTAATCTGGCTCTAAAACTCAAAAATAATCTTTAAATCTTCTCATCAAATCCTATCAATTCTTTTCACAATCTTTTTCTCCCCTGTGTATTACTATCACCTTAGATTAGGCCCCATTTTATACATGTCTGGCTCTTACTACTCTTTTTTTGCTCCCAGTCTTGTCCTTATTCTTCAGTGGTTTTATACACCAATGTCTTAGTAATCTTTCCAATTCACTGTATTCCAACATGTACCTCTCCTGCTGCAGAATCCACAGTACTGTTTTCCAACATCTACTGCACCAAATCCAAACTCTTGGTCCTAGCTTTCTGACTCTACCACTATCCTCTTCACTGGCCAATCTCACTCATCCACTTCTACCTAGTACAACACACATAGGAACAGGGCTATATAGCTAATCATGTCATCTACTCTTCCCTCTTCTCCAATTCAATCCAGTTCTTCCCTGTGCCCCTTATGAACTAACTGTATTTTTTGCTAAATCTATGCTATTTTCTCACTGAAATGGCCTTTCCACTTTGCTTATCTAAATCCTATCACTCTTTAAAGCCCAGACAGGTCTATCTTTCTCTATAAAGATTTCCCTAATGGGTCTAGCTAACACTATACCCTCTACCTTTGTTCTGACCTCCATCATTCCACTTCTTGGTAATCTTGTTACAAAATACATTGTTTCTCTAATATATTAATCTCTCCTCTATTAATGCTTTCCCATTAAAATATATCTTTATTTTTTTTTTCCATTTAAGAGGCAAAAGTGATTTATTTTGCTCACCTTGACACAGCTTCTAGATGTTCCCATTCTTTCTCTCTCCGGACCATCAGGCTCTTTGAAAGAGTAGTTTATACTCACTGTCCTTTCTTTCTCACTTTTCAGTCACTCTTCATCTCATTGTTACCTGGTTTTTATTCCTAAAACTGCTTACATCAAGCTCACCCAAAGATCTCCACATTACCAAATCCAACGAACTCTGTAGGAAATATCTTGTTTTTGGCCTTCTGGCAACAACACCTCGTCTTTCCTTTGGAGAGCTTCTCTGCCTCATTCCCGAGGTCTGACAGGACCACAAAACACGGTCTCATCTCTGGGGTAGGCACAAGGCTGACCAAAAAAACTCTGTGCACAAGAAGAAAAAGTGGCTGAGCCTGAGTTAGACTCAGGTGATTCTAGAAGCTGCTGTGCCCTGGCCTTTCCAAGTCTTCATTATTCTATTTTCCTTCACTTCTCTGAGCTTACCCAGTACCTATCCATAAATCCCCCTTTTCTGCTTAAGTTAGCCAAAGGCAATTTCTGTTGCTTGTAACCAAAGAGGAACTGGTCCTGCAAGTGAAGTAGAGATAGAAGTGGTACCTCTCATGGTTACACTACAAATTTCTCCCTGTCCCCTTCACCATGAGTTCTGCTGTTTAAGAAACTGTGGTAGCTAAGGGAAGAATGCTTTTGCCAGAGGATCCAATAATGGCTTCATTAATTGGAAGGAAAGGCTATCTGGAGCTCCTCATGCAACCAGGCAACAAACAAAAGGGAAGTAACAAGAAGCATAGATGGGAACTGGAAGAATCCTTCGTACTAACACTTGCAGAGAAGTTACCTGTAGACTACTGCTAACCTACAGACGAAAGATCTGCAAAAGCTCGAACTTCTCAGGAATAAAAGTTTGCAAAACACATGTGTCTGTTTCCAGAGTTCAGGTTCTTTAACGTAAAACTTTCTACTGACATTCTACTTGCAGCTCCTTAATCAAGAAACTCCCTCTCTCATTTTCATGGCTTTGTATCTGTTACTTTGTCTGGAATGCTCATATCAACTTTCCACCTGGAAACTCCTAATTATCCTCTTTGAAACTTTCTGATCCCTAGAGGTTAGTCCCAAATATCCTGACATAATACTCTACAATGTCTTAACATGAAATACACTCTATATGTTTATTGGTTTTTCCCATTAGACAATAAGCTTCTAAATGGTAGAAACCACATCTTTTATATTTGTATCCTCAACAATTAGTACTAAATATGAGAGTAATAAATGGTCTTTCTTAATTTTCTGTGGTATTAACCACTGCATCATAGCCTTTGGGTATTTATGTTTAAATTAGCATCTAATAAATACTGTGTTCAGTTCTTTAATTATTTAATATGGTGTTCCCTGATCCTCCCAATAGGTCTAAAAACTTCTTAAGAGCTAAGTCCACACTATTTACTAGTTTTGTATTCTCTTTAGCACCTAAGAGTATTGGGTACATGGTAAGCACTTGATAAATACTTGATGAACTGAATTAAAAAGAGTATTAGCACATTAATAGGAGCAACTTATCATGCCCTACTGATCTAATTAAAAGATCTGGTCTTGTGGAGTGCAATTGTATCCATACAGAAAATTTAATGAGAAAAAGAAAAATTATCCAATTGGACAGTTAACGGCTTTTCTCTTAGTGAAAGTTCCACAAATATTTTATGGATAACAAGACTCAACCTCTAAAGCTCAGGGTAAAGGATTCAAGGTACATATCCCTGTGTATATTGCAAGAAAGATTACACGTTTAAGGAGTCTGTCACAACCATAATTACTTAAATTCTACTAACCCTTAACAAACCCATACTAGGAGTATAAGACAGAATATTTAATAGCAAAGTCAATTAATGCCAAATCGACTTATCTTAAACAAGTATATTATTATCTTTGCATAATACAGTAACAGTCATTTACTCACACAACAAACATGTAAGTGCCCACTAATGACAAGAGCTGTGTTAGGTCCCAGGAATAGAAAAATGAAGAGAACACAGTTCCTATATTGATGGGGTTCTAGCTCTGCTATGCTGCAATGGTATTTAAGAATACAATGTGAATCATACTTCCTGGAGTTGCTCAACATGGATGTTCTGGGGGTAGCAGTCTAGTGCGAAAGTGGATAAAGACACTTATGGCAATGTAATTAGTGTTAACACAAGCCGTTATGGGGTCACATTAGAGAAAAGAGTCAATCTATTGAAGAAACCAGGAAAAAATATGGAAGAAATTGACGTCCATACATGAATTCAATGCAAGTTAAGGTGTGAGGAATCTACCACGACAAACATCTGAGATAGACTCAAACCTGAAACTATGGTTGCAAGCAGAGTTGGTAGAGTTCCAAAGCAAACTAATCCAACCCAAAGCAAACCATTTTAGGAGAACTCAAAAATGAAATACTTCTTGCCATTAAGTTTGAGAATAATAAAACAAATACGAAAGAAGTTAAACCGCCATGGTAGAAGCAAAAAGGGAGTCTTCTAACAATAGATGGCACCAAAGTTCAAAGGAAGCCAATCACTAAAAGTAAGAGCCGTCAGAAAAACATTCATAGAGTCAGAATTATTGGTGGGGAAAAGGAGTACAGGGAGGGGCATTAGTATGCTGAGAAAGACCAATGTCATGAACAAAAGCAAGAATCTGAATTGCATATTTGTGGGACTATGAGGAAATCTGAAGGCTCATGCTGGGAAGCAGTAGGGGAAAAGTTGGACATGAGTGAAGGCCTTAATTTAGAAGAGCCTGGAACACAAACCTAGCAGACTGGACATTGTTCTGGACTCATAATAGTTCTCAACCCTGAATACTAAAAAGACCCTGAATACTAAAAAGAAATATATACATACACCTATAGCTGTGATTCACCCCATACCAAAAGTAAGAGAATCTCTGAGAGGCTTGGTCTAAGCATTAACATGTAAAAGCACACAAGGTGATTCTAATGTATAGTCCTGATTGAGAATCACTGGGCTAAAGAATAGGAAGGTAAGGCTTGACAGATATAGCTGAGATCCAAGCTTGGTTTCAGTCCCTGTTTATAAGCAATTATCTGGTGAAGCTTATCTTCTAACCTGAGTTAAACATTCTCAGTTTTAATCTTTTCCCTTGTTGACAATGCTAAGCTCTGAAAATAGAAAAATAACCGATCGATTTCTCTTACATGACTGTTTAAATGACTGCATAGTTTGCAACTTTTTAATTTTATTTCCATGATGTCTCACAACTAACTAACTTAGAAAATAATTACTTCAATCCTATGCTGTCCTTAGGTCCCTAAAATAAAGTGTGTTTATATTAAGGAACATTCTAGGCTGCATCTACGTCTGAATTTTATAAAATTTCTCAGACTAAAGCAAAATATGAGATTAAATATTCATTCTTATAGTACCTGGAGACATTACACTGTACTGTTACTGGTTTCAGAAGTGCAATGATTACAAAGTACTTTGCTTATTTTGCAACAAATACTTTCACAGTACCTTACAAATAAAGGGAAACAACAAATGTATCTCCTATAGCAAGTCTGTACTACGATAAACAACTGTCCTGTGTGGGAGGAAAAAGTCATCAAGGTGATTGGAGAATATGACAGTCGGTTGATCCTTCAAAAAGCAAGTCCCCACCCCCCACTCTAACCCCCCGCCCCGCTCGCTTTTTTCTTTTTTAAGAAAAAGCATATGTACAAATATGCCTCAGGTTCCACGCTACTCACCGAAGCGTTTATTCAAGAAATTTGTACTTTGTTTATAGGTAAGCAAATGTCTTCATGAAAACTTAAGCTACAACTGTCTTGTTTTGTATGGTACTAGGTCACTGTATCTACTTAATGGTAAAAATGGTATAAGAACGTAAGAAGGAAGCCTATAGCTGGAATTCCACACACATAGGTTTATGCAGTCTCTCATTTCCATATGAAGTTAATGAATTCAAAGGACCATACTCCAGCGTAGCCGTAGAGGGTAAGTAGAGAAGGGGGCAATGAGTATGAGAGAACCCGATAATCCAAATGTTAAACATGAATAAGAGTCCAGAAATATTTCCTCGAAATATGGAACTAGATTCCAAGAGTTGGCTGTTCGCTTCTACCGCTCCTATTCAGAAAGGAAAAGAAAGGCTTCTAAAAAGGTAACGCAGCCTAACTCTCAACATAGGGATGAGAGTTAAAAAGCAAGTCACGTGAGTCTGACCAGTGGGTTCGAAGGAAATTCAGAAGGCAAGGAAAGAGAGGATGGAGACAGTAAAAGGTGAAGGAGGTGGGCAAAGACCATCCGGTGTGAACCTGGATGCCCAGCTCTTTATACACCCGGGGCAGCGTGTACCCTTTCTCGCCCCGCGCACATCTGGGGGCCGTGGCGCAGCGCGAGCCCCCGACGGGCCTGGCACCAGGGGGCGCGGGGAGCCCGCAGGTCGGAGAGCAGAGGGGTGCACGTACCGCCCGCGCTAGCACCCTACTAGGCTCCATATGCAGGGGTCCCCACGAAGGAGACACACTTTC